AATGCTGAGAGCTTTTTTTTTTAAATAAGAGGTAGAAGATCTTTTTTTTTTTACTCTGCTTCACTGAGTGCTAAAACTAGATGTTCTTGTTCCCGTAATGAAAACTGAATCTGTGTTGGTTTTAAGCAGAGTGGAGAGGTGTAGTGTGGCACAACAAATGCAAAGCAGAAATTGTGTTTTGACATCCAAGAAAATTAACTCCAGGACAGAACAGACTTACCTTAGTCAGAGCAAGAGGAAGGAACTTGGGGTGCTAAATTTCCGCATTTTGCCTCTACTGCTCCGCTCTTCCTTTAATAACATCTGCAGAGACACCATTTGGATTGTAAGAGATGTGAGCGGTCTGGATCTTATTAAAAGAGCCTCGAAGGCCGGCGCAAATGACTATCTCTGCACTGATGGAGGTTTTCCTGCGAGCCAAAGCCTGCGTCATAAGACGATAAGCCTGGGTCCTATAAGACTGGAAATTGGAGGGGAAGCATCTCAGGGACAATGACCCATTTAATATGTTGTCACTGGAGGGCTCACAAGGCAATATGGTGGGTTCATGGTAGACAAAACAGCTTCAAATGATGTGTTAGGGAGAGGGCGAGCAATCAGACAGAGTGGAGATAGAAGATTCTGCTCCAGCCATTGATCTGCTTACACTGTGGGGGAGGTGAAGAGGTCGGCTTTATAAAGTAAAAGAAAGGTGTTCTCTTTTCTCTGTGTTCCCTGTAGTACCTGTTATCTAACCAGAGAATCTATAACTATAGAAAGAAACCATTGAAAATCCTCCACTGGAGAGTTAAAGTATTTCACTGTGGCACTCGAGGTCGTTTTAATTCTTCACCTGAAATAGAAACGTGGGGGTGTTCTCCCTGTGTTCCCACGGCCCGTTCAATCTCACTAACTGCATTGGCATCGCCGTGCGTCTGTACTTTTTGCAGAGAGATTGATTGCTGCAGAGTTTCAGAATTGTACAGCAGCGCCCGGGGATGACTTCAGGAGAAGAAAAAAAAAAGGCTCTTCAGACATCAAATGTAGAAACATCGACACACGCATTTAAACACCCACATGCACGCTTCAAACATCGGCACGTCCTCGTCAGATCAATGACGATCAGTCAAAGGAGGGTCTCTGGGCCACAGCTATTCATTTCCCCACGTGGTGAGTTAACAGAGGGGGATATACGGGTGCTACGAGGTGTCTAATTACTCCAATCAGGTTCTTTAATCGTGGTGATTTTTCATGGTTTGGGTGGCAGGGAGTTCCCTCGCTCTGATCAATGTCCCCCGTCTCTCTTTCTCTCCACCAGAATCACTGGTATTCTGCTCGCTGGGCTAAATGGCTTTCATTCGGCTCCACTTGGCTAGCTCAGTCCCCCCTCATACACACACACTCACACAAATGTAAATACACAAGTGTCACGCTCAGTTTAACATTCATTACAATTACAATTGGGCAGTGCTCAGAGTGACCGCTGCTGCCCGCCCCTCCTCTGCTCTGTGTCGGGGCAGAGCAGATGTCGTGTTATTCAGACAGCAGCTACCTTTACAGCGGCAGGAAGTGCTGATTAAATGTGCAGAGCAGAGGTGTGTTGTTTCAGAGTGCTCGTCCAAAAGGCTTCTGACAAACATCCAATATGTGTCCCTTTTTGCACAAACAGGTTTTAAAAAAATCCCATGAAGTCTGAATAGAGTTTTATTGATTTTTTTCTGTACCACTTGTGTCTTGTTCATCATCTAAATACCAGTGTTTGGATAAGAATTACAACATTTCCCTCATAGACATTGCTAAGGATTATTTAGGGTTTGTCTTGAAAACAGAAATGTCAATGACACATTTAAACCCTGTTTCCTGCAAGCAGTTCAGTTCAGTTCAGTACAACATGCCTGGTACCAAAATGTTTCATGTTTTCATTTTTTCCAAAGCAAACCTGCGAGCTAACTCGGGCTAACCCTTTTCATTTGTGCTCCTATCCCGTTTTGTTCCCTTGGAGTCGTAACAATGCTGAGCTTTTTATGAGGAGAGTCCAATCTGCCCATTCACTAGTTTATTGTGATTGTGTTTTGATGTCAAATACCTGTCAATATATTTGTCCTTTCTTTGCCTTCAAAGATATAGCCAGTGATACACGGCGACACACACACACACACACACACACACACACACACACACACACACACACACACACACACACACACACACACACACACACACACACACACACAACAGCAGCAGACAGAGGTGATAACGGAGGTCTCTCTAAGCTTTACATAATAGGCAGGATCGCTTGTTGGTCAATAAAAAACAAGCAAAGCACAGCAACATCGACCTGTTATCTATCTTTTTTATCAAACAACATTCAAGCACAAACTTTAAAGGCATTGTTTTATAATCAAAACAGTACATTTCTGCTGAAATGGAACAAAATCTAACACTTTGACATAAATAAATTGTATTAAAAAAAGATATAAAGAGACGTTGAAAAATAATTGAAATTACTACAAGAAAGAATAAGGGTCCTATTTAAAGCAAGAATACAATCAAGAATGTATTTCCTGTCATGCATTTAAGAGACTTGTGTTGTAACCCCCTTCCCTATAGTTCCAAGTTGGGTTTTTTATGTAAAATTTGAACAGGATTGGTTAATTAGGGCAATATTTGTTGCTATTTAATGTCAACTCTAATGCCCAGGAGTTTGGTTAGTTTAGTTCTAGTCCCAAACTGTCAGAAACTTCAGGAGTTTTTTGTCAGTAGATCTCTGAAGGTGACTTTGACGACTATTCACCGGACTCCTGCAGGCATTCAGCTGCTTTCTTACAACCCTTACTGCTAAACCTCAGGCTCTGTGTCTACGCAGCACCACTGCTGGGCAAACACTCTCTGTCTTTGTTTTGAAAGTCAGACCGATCAAAAAAAACCCAAATATTGCTGTGCTTCCTGCTGCGAAGCCGTGTGGAGCCTCTGAATGGAGATTCACTCAGCAAGAGAGCCAAGAGAAGAGGAGGAAAGAGGAAACTCTGGAGGTTACATGTCAACAGAGGCTTTAGCTTCTCAAGCTGTGACCCTTCTTTTCACGCTTTAGCTGGAGTGTCAACAGAGGTGGCCGCAGGTGCTAACATCCTCTCCATCGTCAGCACAATGTGAAGGAGAAAGCCCTACAGCCTTAGCGTCTGATTGGTCAGCGCTTACTCGATTAAAAGTATCCTCTCCGAGCCTTTCTCCTTCAATCCACTACACAACAACCGAGAGCTTGGAGAACCGCTTGTCGACTAAGCAGCTGGTGGACGGTGACACTTCTCGTGCCGTGTGTGAAAAACCATGAATTTAAAGCGTTTGTTTGAGGCCCGCTCCATTGTGCTGAGTTGACAGCTTCTGGGCTGAGAGAGATTGCCGTACAGCAGGACCTGATGGTGTTGTCACACCGGCTGGCTGGCTGGCTGGCTGGCTGGCTTCTTCTCCTTCTTCTTTGCTGTTGGGCCATCTTCCAAGCTCAGCTCTCCATTTCACTCCTCCTAATCTCATTCTCTGCACCATCAATGTGCTGACAGCTCTGAAAACATGGTCGCTGCTATATTTACTCCGTGGGGAGCGAAACACTCGTCAGATTAATGCCATTTACATGCTGAAATTAGCCACTGGCTAAATTATAATCCAGTTTAGAGAACTGGTCCTAAGATAAGAGAAGTGAAGAATCTGTTGCCAAGTAAAGAATCTGTTTCAGCACCGAGCCATGGACAGTTCCCCTGCACTTTACATTGAGCAGTTCCACAGTGCGTTCAATAGTGGGCGCTCTTTCTGCCCTCCAAGCCTCATCGCCGGTGATATGAATTCCTACCAAATACATTAAATCAGTATGATGAGACTCAGGGGAAGGCTTCACTGTGACTGTGGTCCATTTTTAACCACGGGTAATTAGTGAATCTATATCTGAACATAGTCATGGCTACCCTCACCCACACTCTTGTTGTTGAAGTTGATACAAACACCACAGTACATTATTAATGGCTTCCAGTCAGTCTAACTCTGTGATGTCTGGCTCCTGGCCACATTTTCACAGCTTTATTAATTCTCTCCTCTTTCCCCTCTTCCTCCTCCTCCTCCTCCATCCTCTCCTCTTCCTTCATGTTCCTCTGCCTCTGTAGCTCATTACATCCCATTACCACAACCCCTGGCAGAGTGTGGAGACCGTGTGAATACACCAGGAGACCCTGTACTGTCAAGTTAACTAACCTATGAGAATGTGCAGAACAGCCCAGGACAGATGCTACTTGTTCAGACAGGCTGGTGGAGTTATTACTGTCTGGCAGAGCTGCAGGAGTCTTTTGACAGAGGTTACTTATGTTGTTCACAAATTGTCAGGATGCAACCAAAAGCTGTTTGCGTGCACAATATTAGCAGAGTTTGGTTCATTCATCATCCACTATTCAGCAAATAAGATCTTATTATATGATCAGAGTAAAACCGACTGTTTCCTCGCACCCTCTGACAGCTACAATACAGCAGAAAAGTGAAAAGAGAGACTGTTTTTCTCATTGAGAAACTCTGAATATGAATATTAATGCAACACAGACATTCATTTCTTTCATGTGCCACTGCAGCAGTCTGCAATATTCTGTGTGTCAGCTCGCTGAAAGCTCCTCACGCTGCCCCACAGATGCTCTCCGCTCAGTGAGTTACAGCGCTCTGCTCACAGAATAAAACATGACACGCAGCCCGGGCATGAACAAGGAACCCGCCGGGGTCAGGGGAGGGTTGGCGGTGACTCATCATCATTCAGCTAAGCCATATCTTTGGTTCGGGCGCTGTCAGAAGATGATCTTTTGTTCCATTTGTCCGGACTCTGTGTGATTGTTGTGGGGTGACATGGCTCCTTCACAGTCATCTGGCAGTGATGACGGATGACAGTTTCCCCTGAACGAGCCCCTGCTGCCGTCAAACCTGCAGATAATTGATGATATATGTTTGTCAGTTTTTGTCTGTATTAACCGTTCTGTGTTTGATTCTGTCCTCAGGTACACAGAAGAAGAGATCCGACAGAAAGTGAGCACATTCAGACAGATGCTGATGGACAAAGAGGGGGTCATTACCAGAGAGGGCTCACACACACAACCAGGGTACGTTGATTTATTTTCTTATTCTCAGTTATATTTGAACGAAGTATGATTCTTGTAATGGATGTATTGCAAGAAATGCTGCTGTCTTTCTTTTGTCAGAAAATGATCCGTTATCTTATCTTGATGCTGGTGTCAGTAGAAACCCTCATTTCAGCCTCTGCCTGAAATGTTAAAACTCAGCTGCTGTCTGTTTATACCTCATGATCAGACAATAAACATGTTTCTGGAATACAATCACTGATGCATTCATGTGTTCATCACTTTTATGTTCAAGCTGCTGAGCTTGGGAATTCCCTGCAGGGATCGAAGAAATGTAAATTTCTGTAATCTTAGAGGAGTTTAATCTTTACCTATAAGCTTTTTCATAATTAGTCTACATCCTCAAAGTACCTCGTCTTAGTGAAGTTAGTGAGAAGCAGTAATGCACTCTGCCATACTGCATGATTTTCTAAATTATCTGAAGCTTGTGATGCAATGGGAGGAGGGCCAGATGAAAATAAAGTCTGTTTGAAGTGTTGGTGAAAGTGCCAAGCTTCATGAGCATCAGGAGGTAAAAATAAACACATCAGTCAGGCTTCATGCTGCATGGCATCGAACCAAACATGGTGCAAGGTGATGAAAGAGTGAACCTCGCCAAATGTCTGAATATTAAAACGATCTACTCCTCAATGTTTTCAAATATACATAATGTGTTCTCCTTCTGTCACGTGGACTTTGTCAGACAACCCCCCCCCGATAACTTTGATCCAGAATAAAGGGGCTAGAAATGAAGTTACAGAACCTAATGATGTATTAATGGATGCATTATCCTTTATGGACATGATGCTACAAAAAAGAGTTTTTAATAATTATAGCGAAGTGTGTTTTAAAGGCCCAACATGTAACTCTGTCACCTAGTGTTTAAGATGGGTACTGCAGTCCACATTCTTAACATTGCAGAGAGCTGTCTCCCCCCGCCCCCTCCTCTCTAGAGTCGATGCTCACACAGGTCACCATGTGGTGGACACTGAAGCTTCAGTGTTTATCCAGCTCTGCATCGGTCTGTAAACCTTTCTGTGTTCTAACCTCTCTCCATTTTTCAAAAGCATCTCCAATATTGATCCTAGTTTGAGCACGTTTCTGCTCGTGGAGCTTATTAGAAACATGCAGAGGCTTTTTAGGTCGGGTACAATCACTTCTATCTGAACCACTTCTCTTGCCCTCGTCCATCGCTGCAACACCTGTTGACCTGATAACTGCTCTCATATCTGGCAAATCGAGGGGCGTCCAAAACGGCTGTGTGGGGGTGTCTTAAAACCACCTACCTCCTTTGGTCCAAATAAATTCAGAGCATTCAGGACCAGAATCTAAAGTTAGAAGGAGGACATACTGGCTGCTGCATTGTTGTCAGAGAAGCCAGCACTTCAACATAGCATGTTTCCTTAATGTCTGATCATATAGTAAGGTCACTTTATCATTTCACTCACTTCACATCTCACTGATTGGACATTTAAATAATGTTTTTTTGGAAGTTTGTTCCAGCATAAAAACTAAAGTTGGCTGTGGCTCAGTGGTAGAGTTGGTCGTCTCTCAACCAGAAGATCCCCAGCTCCTGCAGCCACATGTGGAAGTATCCTTAGCAGACTTTGCTATCAGTGTCTGAATGTGTAGGTATGACCTGAAGTGTTTTGAGTAGTCAGAAGATGAGAAAAGCGATATGTAAGTTTACTATTAACCAAACTGAACGCTGCCTCTTCATGTTTGGTTCTGACTCTGGAGACAGAAAGCAGACCTGCAATTTTGGCCCTAAGTCATTCAGCGCCTAATAAAGCAACAGGGGTATGTTGAAAAATACTGTCTGAGAGGCAGGGAGCCAGTGTAAAGACCTCAGAACTGGAGTGATCCGGTTAAGTTATGGTCTTAGTGAGGACTACAGCCGCAGCGTTCTGACTCAACAGCAGTCTGATTGATTTTTTAGGGAGACGTGTAAAGAGTTACTGTGATCGAGTCTGAAGATAAATGCATGGACGTCTTTTTTAAAGTCCCGCTGGGACGTAAACCCTTTCAGGTCTATTTCCATGACTACACACAGATTTGGTGCATGGTCAGTGATGTTCAGTGTTAATGACTGAAGCTGCATGCTGACTTTTCAATTCTCCTTCTTGGATCCAATAACAACTACCTCAGTTTTGTCTTTGTTTAAATGAACAAAATGATGATATCCACTCAGTGATTGGTTCAATGCATCCACTGAGCACTTGTAGAGCCATGGTCCCCTGGTAAAGATAGAAGTTAACATCTGTCATTGATTTCAAGAGGTTATGACAAATGGCCTGCCCGTTTAATAAAGTCTTCAGGCGGGCGGTTCAGAAGAATATGGGCCTTAATTATAAAGTGCAATAAATTGAATTTGAATCCTTTGCTTTTGACTGATAATGCCTCCCTCGGACTGCAAAGAGATTGGTTAGACCCCTGTGCTCTGAAAATAATCAGCAGCATTTTAAAAGTCTATTCTGAACTCTGCTGGAAGCCAATGAGGCGAAGATTGGCATGATAATTGTCAATTTGTTTAGCGTTGAGCCTCGCTGTAGCTCTGAGCGCGAGGTGGGAGGGAGAGCAGCTCATCTGAGGGCAGCAGAGATGGAATTAAAATCAAAATAAATGATCGAATGAGACACACACACACACACACACACACACACACACAAACACACACACTCATAAAGTCTGCAGCTTCAGCCAAACACAAAAAAGGAGCAGCAGCAGGACGTAGGTGTGTCGGCCCTCCTGACTCAGTGTGTGTGTGTGTGTGTGTGTGTGTGTGTGTGTGTGTGTGTGTGTGTGTGTGTGTGCGTGCGTGCGTGCGTGCGTGCGTGCGTGCGTGCGTGCGTGTGTGTGTGTGTGTGGGTGGGTTGTCCTTCTCAGTTATTTTTTGTTATTTTAACATTAAGTCTCTATACACTACATCTTGTGATGGAGAGAGGCAGCGTGGTGTCGGTGACGTGACCTGCTGTCTGTAAACTAATGACTGCTAATGACGCCGATGCTTCCTGTCTCACAGACAGAACTAATGATGCTGCCTGCCCTGCTCATCAGCCGGGGTCTGACATTTCACCAGACCACGCTGAAACCAGGGGGAATGATTACAGAGGATGATTATGCTCAGTAGGACAAATATATCAAACATTTGTGAGATAAATGTGAGAGTAGAGAGAGCTTTGTTTGTTTTGATGTCACATTGGTTTCCTCTCAAGGGCACTCTGAGTCAGGTCAATTTGAGATGTCAGGCTTACCTCAATTTCTGCAACTTTCCCTCTCCAAAGAGGCCTTGATGTGGAAAATTGGAGAAGGTTGTAATTTGCAGGGTTGTTATCCCCCCCCCCCAAGTCCCCTTCACACACAACAAACGGCAAACACACACTAACAGAACTACACTTACAACTAGACCTCTTTTCCTCTGCATTCCTCTGCTCAAAATCAAGAAATGATACCCAAATAAGTGCCTTAATTATTACTAACTGACAGCAGCAATCACTAGTTCACCAATCCCTCACCTTAAAGGGGACAAAGCATGAAATAAAACGTTTACAGTGTTTTTGCACATATATTTGGTTGACCAGAGTATATACTGACCCACAAAATGTGAAATAAGCCCATCCAGTCCTCTGTTTGTGGTCTGCTAATGTCTCGAGAGGTAAAGGGACGTAGACAAGGGAACTAGGGGTGGTTAGGTTTCTGCAGCACCTTGTGAAATCAGGCACAATTAAGACCATCAGCTAGATGATACCCCAGAAACTGAGTGAGGGAGCGTTCCATTATGAACAGAAGTGGACAGCCACCCGTCACCCTCACTGCTCTGTTAATTTACTGGGCTGTAAATATTAATGACCAAGCCTGAGTGATGTTACTCATCTGTCCTGCAGGGGGCGCTGGAGTCCCATCGATGGCTGTCTCCATGCTGGAAATGCCGTCTCCAGCTTTCAGTTGTTAAGTTGGCTTAGAGTGGTTTCACACTAGGGACTCCGGCCTGGATCTGAGTATGCTTGACCCCAAAGTCCAGTTCATTTGATCAGTGAGAACACAAACAAACCGTACTCAGGTACCTTGTCTGAGTCCACGGGAGATGTGAACGCAACCATGCTCAAAGGAAGTGGACCGCTACATGACATATTTCTAAACGGCTCCTGTCGCTTTAAGAACCGACGTATCTGTGCAGCACAGGCCCGTTTCGTCCTCTGAGCAGGATGGACTCACCGCGCGAGTGGTTGCCATGGTTGCTTCTTCTTCTTCCTGCTTCTTCAGTGCGTTTACGTTTGCTCAGCTGGGAGGTTTTATTCAGATGCCATCTTTTCCACAGGGGACTATTACTGTTGACAGGCTGGGTCCCTTTCGGCTGTAACGCTCGTACACACAGGCAATAAAAACGCCCGCAGTAGCATGGATGTGCTATAGCTCATAACTCTGTTTACCAAGGCCCCACATTGATTTCCTGCAGAATGGATGGGAAAGCAGAGAGAAGTGAGAAGGAATGCAGTGTGTAAAGCCTCTAAGAGATATTCAGGCTTACACGCCAAGGCGGTACGATCAGTGCCGGATCAATGAGACAGTTAAGCCTGAGCTCCAGTCAGCCGTTCAATATCCAATGAAATGCCTGAGACAGTGTTTCTTCATTAGCATATTGGAATATATCTCAATTCAATAAGAATTGATCCTTACCTTTCAGCAAATGGACAGAAATCTAATCTGGGAGCGACCAGAACATCAGAGTTTTTCCCCATGATCACACAATTGATTAGATCAGCTGTAACCTCCAGTCAGGTGAATCCTTCATCTTTATACGACCCCCTTGAAGCTAGATTCTCAGACTTAGGAGTAATTGATCAATATGAAGTTACAGCTCTCTATAGATCAACTTATCT